CTGTATGATGAAAAATAGCATTTTGAAGTTTCACAACAAAGAATCTAAAGACTACACACAACATATTTATTTTAAATCGAGAGATTATAAACATTTACAAAAATTGTAAAATAAACAGAAATAGTATAACTTCATCAATTTGTTTGAGCAAAATAAATCATTTCCTGGTTAGAAGAATCATCAACATAAATTTTCCGATAACTCGAGTCTATGTCAAGTGATCATGCCGATGATTTTCGAAACTATCCAAATGTGCTGATACACAAAAATGTAAAGTGTCCAAAAAATGTTTTCTCACCCTAGATCATGAAAAAAGTCTTTTATATATTTAATACTTTAATTACAGAAGCTGCAACGTCATTGTTGTCAAATGTAGACTCTTTTCTGTTACGCTTGAGATCGTGCATGTTTCGGGGTTTTATCGTTTGTGATTTTAATAATTCGCGATCATGTGATTAAAACCATGCAAAGAGCTAGGTGCACTTTATGCATAAAAAGGCCCTGTCCTTATATCAATTAATTGACTATCACCCTCTGTCCCATTTCATATATCAAAATAAAGTAGAGACTTAGTGCTTCCATTTCCTATAACAAAATTTCTTTTTGAGAATTCAGGTATTGGAAAACAGGCTTTGAGAAAATGCAATGTTCTTGAATTTTGCAGAAAACATGCGTATTTGACTACCTTGAGCAAAGAATTAAAATATGAGCACAGCCCACGATCCAAAAATTAAAACAATGTCATGTTATGTGATCTTCATTAACAGATCTTTCATTATGTAATTGCATATTTTGGATCAGAGGTTGTGCTCTATATGAAATATTGAAAAAATACCTCAACTTTTGGTCATTTTAAAGAGAATTTACAGGATATGGGGAAAATGACGCATTTTATGACGTCATAATGCATTGATTAGAGAGAAAATTACGTCATGTTCAATAGATACACGGTCACCAAGTGCCCAAGTTATAAATACTGCATTTTCAACCAAAACTGAGCAGTTTCGATTTTTCAGAAATTCTCAGGGCCAAAAAAGGCCCTAAATGGCCTTGCTCTTTCGTTTTGTCAGTTTTTATAGAAATGTATGAATAATTCCACAGAATTTCTTGTTTATTTACAAAAAATGATCAGGTTATAAAAGAAACACATATGCATTCTATGTTTTAGAATATATAATAATTTATATAATCATTTTCCCCCTTATTTTTATGAGTGAATTCTCGCAGTCTATAGGATTATAGGAAATGGCAAGCTTTATTTTACCTGTATCTTTCGAAGTTCTAATAATAGTTCGTGATAGAAAATATTTATAAACTCCCTATTCTTATCTTAAATGAATATCTATCTTTCGTGCCAACATACGTTTCTGTGTTTTGTTTTGCTTTTAATTGTTAATTATATATCCAATATCAGATTTTGACAATAATACAAGAGTGGTACTAAAGGGATATCTTATATTCATACTTTTTTTTAGAATATTCAAAATATTTTTTAATATTTAAGAATATCCAATATCAGAAAAAGACAATAATACAAAACTGGTGCTAATGAGATATTTTTATATACATACATTTTTAATTACAGATAGATTACAAAATAACATTAGCAAGTTTGTAGCTTTTGTGGAATTCCTGTATAGATAAACCTGCCAAACATTAAATATGTTAATGTACACGGGTTGTCCCAGAAAAACGCGAGCATTTTCAACATTTTTTTTGTTCACTAATAATATAGAGCTAAAATTGGCATGTACGATAATCATTTTTTTTAAAGTACACAGAAAATTCAAGAAAACATCTCTGTTAATAATTAATAAGATTTTTCTGTCTGATACAAATACAAATAGCTGTCGGCACAACACCGACGACGCCGAGACGCAGGTTGTGGCGTTTGTTAAATTGTTCAGGAATCATTCGAAGCATGAATTCGATACTGCATTTTATTTTTCTTCCAGTTACCAAGTCATTCATTTCACACATATTGCACTTAAGAAAAGGCCAGGGAATTAATTCTTTTAAAAGACAATTTCCAATCCCGATCATAACCCTAAATGCTCGAATAGTTATCGAAGGTCTCTGCGTATGACGTTCAATTTGTCGTCATTTTAAACCAGTGTTCGGTACATGTGTAAACCAGTGTTTGGAACATGTGTTTGGGTTTGGGTTAGGGTTGTCGTTCAACTGTTCCCAACTCTTTCCCCATATGAACAGTAGTCATACCCCGCTCAACTCAGCACTTAATGATAATTTTATGTGCCGCATTATAGCCCGACGTCGCCTATTTTGACAATATATAACTAATAGTCTTAGTGCACATAATGTATTTTCGTTATGTATGTCGAAATAAATTAATATTTTTTTATACTTGAGCACTCTAAATCAAACAGTTTCTATGGATGTACGTTTTGCCACATTTCATTTCCATATTGCTAAGTAAGTAAGAAAACATCACTGACAATGCTATTTTTGAAAGTCAAAATTGCAGTGCTCCGGCCACAGATATTTAATACCCTTCAAACGCATAATTTCGAAATGCATATGACATTACAACCTCATAGTAATTTGTCAAAATGATTAAAGTATCATTCCCAAACATTATGCAAAAAATGAATCATTTTCGTTCGGTTGTCTCTGAAATATTTATAAAGTTCGCGGTTATCTGGGACAACCCTCGTATATTACACAATACAGTAAAAAGTAAACATCTCTTTTTGAACTGCGCTTGAATAAAATTAATGATTTAATGTCATTCAGCTAATCATAATTATGGATGAAAATTATCGTTACTTTTATTTCACTGTGAAAATCCTATCTTGAACGCTCTTTGAAATATTTGGAGATAACGAACATTATTCAAGCTCAAAAGTCCATTAAACATTACAAAATAGGAGCAGAGCAAAGACGGACCTCTAAGACATCAGAGGTGGGATCAGGGATTGAAAACTGCCTGAAGGCTGAGAACAGCACATTATCGGGGGTTGTAGTAGATTTGATAGTGTCATGAGGGATCTAATTTTATTTTGTACGATTAATACATCTTTGTGAAAAGGCCAATCAGAAAATTAAAACAAAATAAGTAAATAAAGGAATAAGGAAATAATTAAATGTTCATCAAAAAATAAATAATCAATTCCATTCAAAGTTCATTAAAAACATAAATTAATTATATTTGTTCATTGCCTGAAATATATCATAGGTATAAGTACTACAAATTGATCAAAGACAGAAAATAATACGGAGAAAGCTGCAGATTTTTTTTTTTTAATCGTACATATAAATTGTAATATTTATTTTTTAACAATTTTAGCATATTATGTTCATTATTAATCGTGGTCGAGTCATTTTATATCAATTCATTTGAAGGAATTGTCTTTGCAGAGAAAGTGAAAAGTATTTTTATTCAATAAATTAAGTTGGCGAATCGAAAAGTATGGAGTCCCCAACACTATTTTGAAGTATTGATAGTGCATTGTATGCATGACACCATTTAGAAAGATTCATATTGCACTGCATACATAATGACCGGAGTCACTGTTGTTCTCAAGACATAACTATTTGATTAGATTTGCAAATCAAGCATTTAAGAAATAGCTTTTTAAAATTTAGCTGATTTTACCGACACACAAATATTAACAAGGAAATACACGTTTTTGTTATGATCATTATTTTTTTTTTAAATTTAACCCATCCCATGGAGAATCGTGCATTTGCATCATCGAATCGTGATCGTTCGTGTAACGTTTAGAATCGATGCGTGAAGTATCATTCGTGTATGGAGGTCAATCGTGCGTTAATCGAGTGGAATTGCTTTTGTAACGTGAATGTTCCTGTATCTTGTCAACAATAACGTTGCAGTCACTGGAATACCCGGAAGGCCTTAACGAGTTACTTTCATATCTTACACGCGCACACTTCTACTCCTTTGCTAGATCTTATAAGTAGTATAAGCGGCCTCGTTGAGGGTCAACTGAGTGTACTTATTAGGGTCAACGGTGGGAACAACCATAATGGGGGCCTGTAGTTGGTTGAGGACACACTGGAAAACTAGATTACCTTCTAGGACTATTGAAATAAAAGCTGAATCAGGAAAAATCTATCGTCTGCAGGTAGCGCGTAAAGTGGGTGTCGTGTGCAAAACCTGGAGAAACCAGGGGTAGAAGAAATTATCAATGCAAAAAAAATACCCGCTGAGTCAGTTTAATACATACTGTTCTGAAAACACAAACAGTACAAAGCGTATTCTGATGTCAAATTTGCACAGATTCAAATCACGGCTTAGGCAAAAGTCACTTGTGCATTGTGAAGTCATCGACTAGATAAATATCGTATTCACTGAGTTCCTAGCACATCTGATTGTTAGATCGTTCCCTGTCAATATGGATCTCGACACTCTTAAATGAAATATATGGAGATAACGAACAGTATTCAAGCTCAGAAGTCCATTAAACATTACAAAATAGGTGCAGGGCAAACTCGGACCTCCAAAACATCAGAGGTGGTATCAGGTGCCATGGAGGAGTGAGCATCCACTGCCGAAAGTGTGATCCTTGTCATGACCGGGGAATAACGGAAAATAATACAAGTGTTTGAAGACTAAAAAGAAGGGGAAAAGAATAAGACAGTATTATTTATCCACAAAGGAAAAGAGAAATAGCACAACATAAAGAAAATGAAAGGCCTTTACAAAGATCACTTTTATTCAATCAGTATTTCACTGTTAAAAATGTAATGAAATGTTTTATTATTGTTTTTTATGTGAAAATATTCCTTTTGAAGGATAAATAACACTATTTCATTCTTCCAAAATTCAAATATCTTTGCTTGAATAGGTGCATCCATCAAAAAGAAGCGATACCTTTTTAGTTAAACAACTTTATTTTTGAACAAACCACTTTTATGTGGTGAAAAGTTGGAAAATGTAACTTTACAGTTCAATCTAATACATGTATTTTAAACGTTTTAGAAATATATGAAGTTTTGTTTAAGTTTCTTGGAACATTTTCAAGAGTCTGTTTTTACATTTTTCACAATTAAAATTTCCTAACTGATTTCCATTAAAAGAAATATTGTTAAAAAAAAAAAAAAAAAAAGCAATGTTAATCATCTGGAAGGTAAGACAATTTGATCGTGGTATGTATTTAAAAGTACAGAAATACAGCATGTGCATTATTATGTAAATAAACAAAGATTCTGTAACATTGCATGACAAAATAATATGCATTCAATTCCTTAAACATGTCATTAATTATACTGGATATCGATTGCGTACTCTATTATTACCGAATCTCGAAGAATAAAATGTTTTCTCCATATACACCAAGTTTCTAGGAGTTACATATTCATACATTTAATTCTTTTTTTTTTTAGTTTTATTATTATGTAAATGCAAAAGTATTTATATCTTAAATATACTCCAAACTATTTTTCCCTACAAGTCTAGTAATCTCATCTCTAGCTCACTTATAAGGTCATTCTCCTACAATGTTTACATGTGGATGTATTTTCAATAATAAAAATGAAATATGTAAAACACGAGACTTCCTATACAAGCCAAATTATGATTTTTTGCTTTTCACGATGGGATCACTTATTTCGAATTCCGCTTTCGTTTTGTCTGACCTGACCATCAATTCCTCTTTCTCTGGAAGGTCATTTTTCTCTTCATCTTCCGTACTCCAGTCTGTTCGGTTTCTAGAAATCCATATAATAATTCCATAAAGCACAACCACCACACACTTAGTGATGATTTCTACAGTGTACCTTTTAAAGCGAAAATCTTCTATGTCGTATAATGCGCATGCGCCCTTTCCATAACAACTTGAGCTCCAGAGTTTGCAGCAGGTGTCGATGATTTTACCAGTTATCACTGGTCCTATCATCCATCCTTAAATGAAATGGGATGCGAGAACATATATTTTAATGGCGAAATATCAAAATAGTTTTGCTTTCTTAAACAATTATTCATGAATTATCTGAAATTGTTATTTAAACAGAAAAACATACGTGAAAAATGAAAAATGTTTTTTTTAAAACAACGAATTTTCTTGTACTTTGTTTCAAATTCCTGAAAATTTATTACCTACATTGTACATGTACATGTGTATACATGTACAGGCATTATTTCAGATAACATAAATTTCAGTTTTACGTTTGTCTTTATTTTTGACGAAGTAACGAAGAAGAGTTTACCAAAAGCTGTCTGAAAAAAAGAGGACACACCCACGGCGACCGATTTATCCTCATCAGACACGCACCTGTACCAAGCCAGGAAAAGAAAATTACATGTATTTTACACCCGAAAAACAATGTCTTAGTTCGGATGGTTGAATTTCAAGACATAGAATTTTTTTCAAGATAATGGCGAACAAATTCAACAGAAAAAAGAAGAAATATAAATGTATACATGCATTTTTAAACATTTCTTAAACATGAAAATAGTGCTATAATTAGTCAAATCTTACCTAGTAACAATGACGGTCATAACAATCGTAATTTACAGTAAAGTGACAGTCTTACACAGTGACAATGACGATCACAGCAATCGTGATTTACAGTAAAGTGACAGTCTTACACAGTGACAATGACGGTCACAGCAATCGTGATTTACAGTAAAGTGACAGTCTTACCCAATGACAATGACGGTCACAACAATCGTGATTTACAGTACAGTGACAGTCTTATCCAATGACAATGACGGTCACAACAGTCGTAATTTACAGTAAAGTGACAGTCTTACCCAATGACAATGACGGTCACGACAATCGTGATTTACAGTAAAGTGACAGTCTTACACAGTGACAATGACGGTTACAACAGTCGTGATTTACAGTAAAGTGACAGTCTTACCCAATGACAATGACGGTCAAAACAATCGTGATTTACAGCATATTAAAGTCTTGCCCATTACAGGAGGAGATTTTGAATATCCCGGACGTTTTGGTTTTACTGTGCTCTAAATGTGGTGAACAAATTGTTCAAAACTTACTCTTAAGTTACGGTTCATTATAATTGAGTTTTATTGCATACACTGACAGTGACGGTTCGGTTCAATTGCGTTATACCGTACAATGATAGTGACAGATCGTTACAAACGGGTTTTGCTGTACAGTGAAAGAGGAGATTTTTCACTTTGTGAGAAGATAAACTCACCTGACACTGAACATATAACCAGGAATAATGCTGATAGAGATTATTAATGAGGAGAGCGTGTTGACAATCAGATAAGGCCAAAACATTTCACAGTCCGTCTTACACAGCCCGGGGGTCGCTGTACCCCCTCCCTCGATGCAGGTGCAGTTCGTGTAGGTCTAAAATTAAACGTATTAGGATCCAATTAATTAAGGGTTTTAAGGTAGTGACTCTATATGAATGTGATTCAAACCTTTGAAGAAAAAAATATATAGTCAATAATTCAGCATTTCTATTTCTAAAAAAATAGCCATCTACACACTGTTCACTTTTTGATAGATTTTTAAAATTTAAGAAGCACTTTTCAAGGGTTTATCTAGCGAAATTATGTAATGGGGTCTCACCCACCACCACCCCCTCCGTTGTCGATATTTTTTGACCTGAAAGTCCTTTCCATTGTGGAAAAATCTTTTCGATTTTGAGTTTCCAAAACCGTAAGAATTGACAACACTTTACAGTATATTTTGTCTTACATTCCTTATTTTGTATACATCGTTATTTTAGTTTATTCGAAAGACCTACAAAGACCTACAAAGCCCTCTGGTCCTTGAATACTCTTTACGCATCCAGCGTGACAGGGCGTCAGGTAATTAATATTATCCGAACCGCAGACGGGAAGGTATTCCGTACTGTCACAGTTACAGACATTCAAACAACTGGAATTAGTTACTGCAGTGTCCAGCCTATAACACGATAATGTCTACTTCAGTGATAATTTACCCAACAAAAAATATTATATATTTTACTAAAAAAGCAATTGACTGTTTGAAAATCTCTCTTTCTCAAATATAAAAAATTCATATTGGCTTTGTCAGATTTTTAAAGCAATTAGCGAAAAGGATGAATGATCAATAGTTGATTGCATTTATTTATTTCTTTTATGGAAAAGACATGTACGTACCCAGTGATGGGAGGGTTTTGACATCCAAGAATAAATCCCAGTCCGATGATGACGATGGAGAACAGATTAATGGCTCCCACCAGCTTGATGCATGTATATGGGTGGAGCTTCTTAAACGTGGTCCAAATACCCCCAACTAATGTCCCCAAACTCGTGGACACAATTACCATCACACCTGAAAGAAAGGAGAGAAAATAAAACAGGTGGACAGAAGTACCTTTACTTTTCCTCAAATTAGGAAATAAAAATACGTATATAACAAAGGCACTTATTTCTGGCATAAATGTGTTCCCCCTTAGTATAGAAACAAGTGCCTTTGATATATATAATTTGAGATTAAAATAGCGAACAAAATATAAAATGTTCGGCATAACTTCAAAATTTTCAAGTCTTGAGTAAATGTTTGAGAATATTTATAGGAACAGAAATAAGCATTTAATTTCAATCTTAATTGTGAGTTTTTCTGTAAAATGATTTTCTAAATCTGGCAATTACCTAATAAAGCATTGGCTTTATACGCTGGAACAAAAAACTGAGTCTCCAAGTATTTTGGCGTGAAGGCAACGGAACTCGCGACAAGAAATAGAACCAGGCACTTAGCAATCAGATACAGCATAAACCGGGCGTTTGATAGGATCCGGATTATCTTCCGTATCAGATCTGAATAATAATAATAATGAATACAAATAATATATATAGTTACTCTGCTAATGCAAAGTTATCAACAGTTCTTTAATTTGTTTTGTTCATCCCTGATATTAGAAAAGTTGAGATCTTAAATTTGTACGTATATATATATGTACGTGTATATATACTTTATACGTATACTTACACATTTTTGTCAGTTGTCTGTAGAGATTTTAATGACGTGTGACATAAATGAGTACGTTGCGATCGATGACTCTGTTTCAATTATTTTTTTCTATTGGAGTTTTGTGACATCAGTTTTACTTAAATTTAGTTAGTAAATAAAACATGGTTAAAATAAGTGCTAATGAAACAATAATTTCATAATAAATAATGAATATTAATAACTAATAATGAAAGTGAATCGTGTATAACAATCACATTTTCACACATAAATTGACGACCTATTTTTATTATAAAAATTACAAGTTTACACCTACGTGTAGATGCCACTCTACAGGTTGCCGGAACGCGTGAAAAAAAACATGTCATCGCTAAAATTTTAAAGAATTCTCGTGTATTACGCCATCAGTTTTTGTAGGATAATCCTACTTGACGTATGTAACCGTACAGGTACGAAATCTCAATCTCTCTATTAATTTACAACATCCTTCTTATAGTCTATTAATGTTTTTTAACATGTATAATGAATCATAGTAGAATAACTTTTTACTGCAAGTCTACTACAGGGGCACAAAGGTGTCTGCGTAGGTCTGGCAGTCCCGAAATAATTTTATGGTCATAAGTAATTGATCTGAAATCCGTTTTATCTTCCATGTGATTTGCTTTTTTTTCTGACTGACAAGACAAAAATCTACAAAGGTCTCTTCAAAATTTAGCAAAGTATGGGACCGGTGCAAATTGCACTGGGGACAAAAACCATTTTTATGCCTTTAAGTAATGGGGCTGTGGCTTTTTTCGTCGGTTAATGAGCATGGGACATTAACTTTTTTCAATGAAAACAAAAAGATTAATCAACGAAAAAATATTCAAAAGTACAACAAACTTGGAAAAATCCAACACACAGATTTCACAATTTATCTATTTGATATTATTAGTATATAAAAAACACCCTTTATATCTTCTTGTGCAAATGAATATACACTGCATGTCCTAACTTGATTTCATGGCCCCCTTGTTTAATGTAGCTTAGTTATTATTAGACATTTACTTGGCCCCATGTATATATATGCAATATATATATATATATATATATATATATATATATATATATATATATATATATATATATATATATATATATATATATATATATATATATATATATATATATATATAATATATATATAACTTCAATGCATATATGTACATGTATTATACTAAAGTATGATTTTTGGGGCTTTTCAGAGTTTGACAATTGTAAATTGTTAGTATGAATAGATTCAATAGACTGTATTCGATTTTCATAGAAAATTCAGGTTTATGCTCTATGTGAGGCGTGTAAATAGCTTGGGACACCAACTTTTTTGCGGAGTAGAGAACATGATACGAATGGTTTTTATTCAAACATAATATCATGGGGTTTTCAGATTTTTTACATGAATTAATCAGTTTGCAGCGGTCAAATGCTTCGGTAAATTTTGACCAGTTTCCTAACTACAGCTACGTATTACCCTTGGTCCCCTCCTTTACTCCACTTTTTGTGGATGCCTCAGCCTTTGCTTTCTTGGGTACCGCCTTCTTTTTTCTTCCTGGCATCCTTTTCGGGAAACACATTAAAGGAATGGACACGATAACAGCTAGCGCCCCAAACACTATGAACCCCAGCCACCACGCCCCAATCCACCGAGGATCCCGTACACTGATCTGAACCTCTGTAAACCATGACAGGTTTCATGATTATCAAAACGAAAAGAAATGTATAAATCGCTACGAATTTCGAATGATCATCTGTACCTTTTGTGCTTTTGTAATGAACATTTTTTTTTTATTTTTGTTAATTGTAGTATGAGGATTTAGCAATTCAAGACACCTGATATTAACCCAAGCGACTAAGACAACTCTAGTCATATAATTAATTTTACTATTTTCATCGCTCGTCTTTTCGAAATATTTATGAATATGAAAACAAATCTAAAAATTATCCTAGCTTATCCTTACCTTCCAGTGTCACATACATGCGACTAAAAAGAGCGCCCAGACCAAAGCCCATACCGGGGCCAAAAATTCCCACCGCCATGATTATACCTAGAAAGAAGGATGCTTTTTACAGGCATAGAACATACATGGAAACTGTGATACATTGTATATAAGTAGTATATGCAGAATTTAAACACAAAAATTCCTAAATTAATACTACAGACAGATATGATTAAGGTAAGTTGAGGGGAAATGGCATTAAAAAACAAATAAACAAACAAAAAATTATTTATATACTTTAAAAAACAAATTTTCCCACATGCCACACGTATATATACCGCTTTGTGAGCTGAAAAAATTAATTAAGAGTCTGATAAAGAAATATTAACTTATTTTTCTAATCCCTCTATTGTGAGGACTTGAATTGATTTCCCTGTGGAGATGCATAAACCGTTCCAAAGATATATCAAAGATATAACCTATAATGCTACAATATTTATTTAAATAATTTATAAATATTTACATGTCTATAAACAGTGAATGGACATGATTTGAGATTTTTCTTTTCTTTTATATCGTGGCCATGAAGAAAAAAAACGCAATGACAATAAGGTGTTGCTTCAAATAGATATTCCCTTGAGCCAGATTACTGAATTAATATATAATTTGTTAAAAGTATCAAGGAGTTATGGCTACATATTATTTTATTTATGGCGTCGGATTCATGAGAAAAGAAAAGACCTTCTATATTTTTAGAAAACCAAAGTAATATCAATTTACCTATATAGCATGCGGTCTTCCGTTTGGGTGCATTATCGTCTATGTAAGTGACGATGTAGGGTTGTCTGGGGGCTTTCCCAAACCCCTGTACCATCATCCCTACAGCAATGATGACGATAGCAATAGTAGTAAACTCTGTTGGTGCACCGGTCTTGACCATTTTGGGACCACAACTCTCAGAAGGAGTGTCGTTTACTTGCGAGCACAGCTGATGGTGGAAATTTTTAAACAAATCTGTTTTTGCAGATGACGAATTTGAAACCATATTTTCTTCATTATGATTGTCAGGTGCAAGAAAATATGCCAGAGAGCAGAAGATCCCGGAAAGTCCGAACAAAAATGTGGAATAGAAAAGGGATCTTGGAATATGGACATTTCTTGCAAGATGGGCAATAAAAATCGTTGTTAGTAGAAAACCGATGTCGTTACAGCTCATTAGGAATCCGCTTTGTGCGCTGCTGAAGCCAAACTGTTTCTCTAGGGTGGTGATTTGGGAGGACATATACACGGAAATGGCAGAGGTAAAGAGAGAGGCTGGGCTATAGAGAGCCACAAAAACCCCGACCCTCGCGCAGCGCTGTAGGAAGGAGGGTCTGAAACAACCCGCCCCACACTGCTCATCAGTGTCCGCAGACATCGTTCCAGAAACAAGGTGTCTGAAATAAATATAAATGTTGGGATTAAAAACATATGATTATACACAATTGCATATTATTAAACGTTTCAGTATTTTATTCGACGAAGATCTTTTCTTTTTCTGATGTTGGACCTTCAAACTTCAAGCATGTACTTATCTTAAAATAGATTTAGGTAGGGGTGCTATTTTTGAAAGATTATTTTCGAAAGATTAATCCGCATTTAAAAGAAAATCAAACACCCATCAGCAACTTAATTGATACACTGAAGGGATTTCAGAACTATTGTCTTGATATACACATTTTTTAAAAAAATGATAATCTGGCTAATAGACACAATTCTTTGTCAAAACCTCCTATTTCACATTGCAGAGGAAAAAAATGTCGCTGTCATATGAAAGAAATCATTTGTCAAAGTCAAAACGTCCTATTTCACATTGCAGAGGGAAGGAATGTCTATGTGCTATGAAAAACGGTGGTTTGAAATATATATATATATATATACTTACATCTACCTGACTACATCTTAAATGAACTTCGGTAAGAAACGATATACCAGGATGTATACATGTAGAGAACCTCTTGTTTGTTTACACAGTTTTTTCCATATCTTAAGAATATTATGATACCAGTGAGATTTATCAAAGGTATCATAGTTGAAACACTCGCTAAACTGTAAGATATAATTTCAAAACTGGGGAATTATGTATTTAAGACTTATGGCTATAAGAAGTGGCTATAGACCCTAACTATAGTGAACATTCTTAAGATCTACAGAGACCCAGTGTTCGTAACGAATTTTCCTCCGGACCTCACCCCTACTATCATCCAAATACGATTTTCGCTTATAGATACTTACTTTTCTCATTTCATTTTTCTATTTAATTTTTATGTTGTAAGAAAATATAATTTATGATGGAAACTGTTGACTATTGTTAACTATCGGTGAAATCCCCCACCCCCTGGGTGAAACGTTTTATCGTATAGCTTTAATGACAATGGAACTGGGGGTAAGTGTAAAAAAAAAATAGAAAATTCATACAAAATGTAATTTCAAATCGAATTACCTTTTTTTCGAAAAAATCAAGGAATCCTCTTCTTAATTATGTATGAACTTTTTTTCCGAAGACAACAGTTTTATAGTTTTGCTGTCCGACATTAACAATATATGTAGCAAAACCAATCACAAACAACTTTTCCTACTCACAGACAAGGAATCTAAACATTTAAGATAACTTTTAATTAATAATTCTTTGCAAACATTGAATTTCCTCGCCTATATCCATATGTCCTCTACCTGTGGACAGGTAATCGACAGGAGTTTAAAAGTTGCAGTTAGCTGTGAATGAATCTAGAATTACCTGTGAGGTAAATAGCATATAATGATTTAAGTTGATAATGGTTTTATGTTAATTTTTTAACAATTCTACGTATACCTCATTTCTGAATCGGGACGTTATGGGTGTTGTTAAATCATGGAGGGAAAGTGAGACGGTATGGAGCAAAATGGGGATTTGTTCTTATCCCTGCACACAACACTGCCACATACAAGACAAAATTGATGCAATGCATCATTTTCGATTCAAAAACGTTTAACATATAACCTGTAAATAGAGTTTATTACTCCCAATTGATTCGATACGCACGAGCATGCTCTATGTACGAAAAATTTCTAAAACATTGACATATAAGTTGATGATACAAGGACATCAACAGTCTCTTTTAATGTCAACAATTCGCAAATCCAATTGTCGATACATTTGTTAACAAAAACAATCTATCGTTAAATCTAATGTTGACTGACTTTTTGATACAGATAGTTAGGCCATTATTTTCATACTGAATTTCTACGGATTACTCTGTTTGCCCGATCATGACAAGTAGCACACGGCGGGTCTGACCGGTCGACAAAGGCTGCTTACTCCTCCATGGCACCTGATCCTAGGTATGATGTTTCATAGAGGACCATGTTTGCTCTTTTCCCAACTTGTATTGTTTCAATAATCTTTGAGCTTGTTAATTGTTCATTATTTTTTTATTTATTTAAAAGTTTCCACAAGAAAGAATCTTAAACAACACACAGATATTTTTATTTAAAAGTGGAAATACATGTAGTATACATTGTAAACCATTTTGTTTTAGAAAAATGGTAGCTGATATGAACAAAAAAGTCACAGTATAATTTTCAATGCTATTTGTTTGATCAAAATAAGTTACCTCTTGGTTAAAAGAATCAGGAGAGGAAAGTGTTATCACTTACGTATATTTTACGTATATTTTGTCCGATTCCTCAGATTTATGTCACGTGTTCATGCAGATGATTCTCAAAGACATCCTAATGTGCAAGCAAAATAAATGTGAAGAGAAGATATTGTTGTGTCTCTCTAGATTTCTAGTTCTACTAACTATGTTTTTTTTATTGTTTTTAGTATTGTAATTATAACCCGGAATTTCATATAGAGTTGCAATCATATCTTAAACATACACACTACTTTCTTTGAGGAGATCTTGTAAATAGTATAAGCAGCTTTGCTGATGGGTCAACGGAGTGTACCCTTTAAGGTCATTTGTGGAAAAACCAATAATTGGAGTATCTGATAGTTTGAGTACAATTAGAAAACCAGATTACCTTCCAAAGACTATTGACAAAAGGCTGAATCAGGAAAAACCTATCGTCTGCAAACAACGGTTGAGGAGTGTCGTGTGCATAACCTGGAAAAACCGGGGGAGGAAAATTTACCATTAAAAAAGAAAATCCCTTTGATTACAGAGTATTGTGATGTGAAGCTTAGCATGAATTCAAAACACGGCCTAGGCAGAAGGAACTTGTGCATTGTGACGTAAAAATCTGGATGGATAGTGTATTCCTAGAACTTCGAGCTCAGTTGGCTGTCAGATCATTCCCTGTCAATATTGACCTCTACACTCTTATGAAAAACTTTAACATGGAATATGAAGATAACAAACAGTAATCAATCTCAAAAGTCCATTGAAACAAAACAAATCGGGAGCAGAGCAAACACGGACCTCTAAAAACATCAGGGATGGGATCAGGTGCCGCGGAGGAGTAAGCATCCCCCTTTCGACCGGTGACCCACCGTGTGCTCATTGTCATGATCGGACAAATGGAAAAATCCGTAGACAATTCAGTGTTTCAATAATGGTCTAACAATTAGTATGAAAAACGTCAGTCAGCATTCCACTTAATGATAGATTGTATTTGCTGACAGGGTCATTGTTTTGACCACAGAAATTGCTAAATGATGACTAAATGATGACTGTTGTTTCCTTGTTTCAAAAACGTATTTTTCAATAGCTTGTCTCGTTTTAGAAATTGTTCGTACGTAGGGTATGCTCTTGCGTATCATATGAAATGGGAGACATAAACCCCATATGGTGATGAGGGTATATTGCTACATAAGTTAGGGAAGCTGACGATAGAAATATTTAAGTCATCACATTTATCAAAAAGGTTTGCTGTTGTGTTACCATTTATGTCTTTTTCTGGTAACATATCTAAATATGAAATAGATGTGTCAGTCTCCATGGTATCATTTCAAGTGGGATATATCGAGTCGACATATGAATGGAAGTATCTATTGGTAATTGATCATACTTGGTCGATATATCTTGATGTCGAGTTGATGGCCACATCAAGTGTCTTCTTCTTCTCATGTATAAGTTTTTGAATAAATTCTGCTTAATATGAATACAAAAATCGGTCGGCTTATAACAGGGCACAATAGGTCCCATGGGAATTCTGACAGATTGCTGGAAGATTTGATCTAAGAAAACTACATAGATATTGTCAATCAGAAACTCAGACATCTTTTTAATATCAACATCAGAGTACTTGTGTGTACAATTTTTAATAAAATAATTTTGAAAAATGATCAATGCCTAGGTTGGTAAATTTACGAGTTCCATTGTTTTTATTGAAAAAGTAGGAGTCTATAATATCAAAAAGCCTGGACTTTCATTCTTTTGTGGAGAATGGTTTTATGAAGTATTGAAAAGTAATACGTTTTCATTTTATTGATTTTGATAAAATGCTGTGATTTCAAATTTTCTAAAAGTTTTTGGAGTATTTAAGTATCCAAATCTGATTTACACCACTTCTCAAATATATTGTTGTACAGTACTCCTGAAGTTTCTCCTTCACTCTGTTAATACTTTAGTGAGGAGCACAGAAAGAGGCTTGGTAGAACATTAATTTACTGGAACCCGCTGTGTATTTTTGTAAGGATTTTTGTAAAGTTTAGCAGTCAATTATAGGTATGTTAATTCAAATTCATTTTGATTCGTGGGAATATTTAAAATATTTAAAACTGATATATAATTTTTTAGAAATTTAAAAGTGATACTCCTGTCAATGTCGGAATATAGACTCCACCACATCGAGGAATTTAATAACCCATCCATGTTTCTAAACTTTCAGGATTAGCACGCTTGCAGACCTTGCAGCTTCTCTTTGTAATGCACCCCTAAAGGAATGACATATGAATATCGATGAATGGTGTTCAGAAATGTAGTCCACCATGAAAAATAGAGACAAACAAAATCCAAATATGGCATGTATATATGCTCCACCTCCATGAGAAAAAGGGCATAAAAGGGGGTGCCCTTTGAAAAGAGACTTATTTGACCAGAAATGGCTAAGAAGAAAAAAAAAAACAAGAGACCTTGCTGTTCCACACGTTTAAGACTGTTACGACCCTATAATCCCTTCAGAAAAGTAAAGTTTTATTGGTCAAGCAAAATAGGAATAAAGATTTTACCCCTTTTTACATCTGCTGCACTTTTACTGTTTGAAAAAAAGAAAAATGAGTCTTAAAAAGTGTTACAGTAACCGCATAACATGATACACAATGGGATGTGATACACGCTCAATACCGTAGGATACACTCATGATATAGTGTATGACACAATAGCATGATATATGATGCGATGTAATCAGAGGAAGGGCTGGCCAAAGTGGATGTGAAAGTGAAAAGCATTTATTCGAAATAGAGATAATTACAAACCAAAATAGCAGAACAGCCCAAGGTATCTGGTCCAATGATGACAAGGAGATCGACTTCTGCTTTATCTGCAGAGTAAGATACTGGCGCCAGACTGTCATAGAAAACAGCAAGATTTTTGCTTCAAATGTGGCCAAATTAGACATTGGTCCTATATATAATATGAGAACCATCTATCCTTCTGTATTCAATAATCCAGAAGTGAAAAAAGAATTAGATAGATTACATGATCAGTACGTACTGGTCCCTGCTGACAAAGCAGGTAACAACATTGTCTTTGTTTGTAAGGCTCATTTTATTAAATGTATTTTAGAGGAACTTGGATTTAATTCTACAAGTGGTAATCCAACTTATACTCATATTTCCCATTCTAAGGAAGAAATTCTTCAAAATCATATGTCAGTTTTGAATATTTTTGATATTCCAAACAACCAAAATGAATTTGAATTACCATATTTATATTGGATTCCGAAACTTCGTAAAAATCCTTACAAAGAAAGATACATAGCGGGTTCCAGTAAATGTTCAACCAAGCCTCTTTCTTTACTCCTCACTAAGATATTAACAGTAGTGAAGGAGAAACTTCAAGAGTACTGTGCAACAATATATTCGAGAAGTGGTGTAAATTAGAGGTGGATACTTAAAAATTCCAAGGAACTTTTGGAAAATTTGAAATCACAAGATTTTACCAAAATCAACAGCTTAAAAACTAACGACTTTTCAACTTTATACACAACCATTCCCCACGATAAATTAAAGTTCAAGCTTTTTGATATCATTGACAGCTGCTTTTTCAATAAAAATGGAACTCGTAAATTTAATTACCTTGTCATTGATCATTTGCAAAATTATTTTGTTATAAAACATTCTGATTGTACACACAAGTACTCTGAAGTTGACATTAAAAAGATGCTTGAGTTTCTGAATGACAATATTTATGTGGTTTTTGGAGACCAGATCTTCCAACAATCTATTGGAATTCCCATGGGTTCCAATTGCGCCCCATTATTAGCAGACCTTTTTTGTATTCATATGAAGCAAAAATTGTCCAAAATCTTGTACGTGAAAAGAAGAAAACACTTGCTGTGGCCTTCAACTCGACATTTAGATATATCGACGACGTATTGTCAATTAACAATGGCTATTTCCATTCTTATGTCGATACGATATATCCTTGTGAACTTGAGATAAAAGATACCACAGAGTCTGACACATTTGTTTCATATTTGGATATTTTACTTGAAAAAGACGTTAATGGTAATCT